TGAGGTCCTCCATCATCTCTTTCCACAGATACAGCTGATTTGATTATTTTCTACCCCATCTGGTGAGATCCTTGTGTACAGTTATTGTTTGTGTTGTAAAAAGGTATTTGCAATGCGTAAGCTGCTGGTCATACAAAACTCTATCTTGTGATCCCCAATGTAATTTCTATCACCAAGGCCATATATGTGAAATACTAATGCTTTGTTTTTGCTTCCAACTTTTATTTTCAATCACCAGTAATTATCAATACATCCTAATTGCATCTTTGGTCAATTTTGGACTGCAGAAGTTGGTAAAAATCCTCAATTTCTTCTTTGGTTTTAGTTGTTAGTGTGTTGAATAATAGTAGCATTAACTGGTCTTCCTTACAGGTGAATGGGTATTATCCTACCACTTGACAGCATTGTACTTCAGGATAGATCCTAAATGCTCTTTCTGTAGGAATGTGACCCCATTCCACTCTGTCATTCCTGGCCTAGCAGATAATGTGATTTCCAATTCAAAATGGCCAATACCAGTCCATTTCAGCTCACTAATGCCTAGGATGGGAGCTCTGGTTGTGTAGTGCCTAAGGTACTTGACTGCTAACTAGAAAGTTGGAGGTTCAAACCCACTAGCCACTCCTCAGAAGGAAATGGGGCAATCTACTTCCATAGTGATAGTGCCTTGGAAACTCAAGGAGGGGCCACTATGAGTCGGAGATGACTCGACGGCATATAACAACAACAATGCCTAGGATACCTATCTTTATGCATTCTCTTTGAGTTTTGAAAACTTCCAGTTTTCCTAGATTCATATTTCATACATTCCATGTTCCAATTATTAATGGATGTTTGCAGTTGCTTCTTTTTTCAGTTGACTCATTTTGAGTCAGACCACATTAGCAAATGAAGGTCCCAAATGCTTTATGCCATCAATGTCATTAAGGTTGACTGTACTCTGAGGAGCCAGCTCTTCCCCAGTTGTATTCTGAGTGCTTTCCAACCTGAGGGGCTCATCTTCTGGAACTATATCAGACAATGTTTACCTATTTGTAAGATTTTCAGTGGCTTTTCTTTTTTTAACAAATAGACCTGGAAACATCATTTTCCCTAGTGTCCTAGTCTGTCTTAGTCTAAACTGTAGACTGTAAAATGGTATAACCATTGTGGCATATGGTATGGCATATCCTTAAAAAAACTGAAAATAGAAATACCATTTGACCCAGCAATACCATTACTAGGAATATATCCCAAGGAGGTGAGAGGCAGTGCAAGAACAGACATATGTACACCTATGTTCATCACAGCAAAATTCACTATAGCCAAAAGACGGAAACAATTTAAATGCCCATGAACGGAACGGATGACTGGATAACCAAATTATGGTACACTCACACAATGGAATACTATGCTACATTGAAGAATGATGAGGGATACGCAAATTATCTCACACTGTGGATGAGCCTGGAGGACATTATGCTGAGTGAAATAAGTCAAATGCAGAAAGACAAATACTTTATGAGCCCATTACTATAAAAAGACAAAGAAAGGTTTGCTTGGGAAAGGTACCTCATTTTGTAGGTTACCAGGGTGGGGAAGAAAGGAGAGGGATTAATTTCGGGCTAGTGGGGGCCCACATGCTGATGTGGGTAAGGGGAGGGATGTATGTAAAGAGTCTGTGACCATCATGATAACATTAGGAAAAGGGAGGACACCAAATTGTGCATGTAGCAGATAAGACGAAACATGCTAATACCAACCAGTGTGTCCACAATACTGCATTCCCACTGATACCAAACACCAGGCTACAGATAAACACATAAACATCTGAAAAGATCAGATGGGGGTCAGTGAACAGGAGTATACTCTAGGCCAAGGATAGATTGAGCACAGGCTACTCTTGCACAGATAGCAGTGATACAAAATACTTGCAATCCTTAAATAAACAATAGAAGACAGACATAGAGTGATCCCTCACAGACACTGAGGTACTGTGGGAGAGAGATCCAATGGATCTACCATCGCAGGACCATAGTATCGGGGGACACCAGACTCAACTGGCACAATAAAATACATAAAAGCCTCATCCTACATTGGTAAGTAGCGACTGGGGTCTTAAAACCTTTTAAGCGGCCACCTAAGATGCAGCTAATGGTATCCTATTGTCGGAAGCGAAGAAGAATGCAAAAAAAAACAAGGGCATTTGGAAGCAAAAAGCCCTAGGACACGATGGCCCTCAAGAGCAGAAGAACTAGATGGAGCCTGGCTACTTATACCAACCACTCAGGAAAGGATAAAATCTGGAGATCCTGGGTAGAGTGGAAAGAAAAATGTGGAACAAAATCCAAAAACTCAATAATGAGCAGAATTACTGGTCGGATAGAGTCTGGTGAAACCCCTAATACTATGGTCCTGTGGTACATTCTGGGCCTGGAATACAGGGGCTGCCTCTCAGCCCAATAGTAAACAAGATGTACATGCCGACCACTCAACTCAGGGTAATGCACCCACATACTCTATAGAAATGCATTCCTTGGAGCAATCGACCACAGGGCACAGAGGGGCAACATCCGCACAGAGGAAATGCAGGACAAACAGGAGTGCTTAATTATGAGGCGCATGGGGGGAGGGTTACTGGGCAGGGAGGAGAGAAGACTGGGTTAGGGTTGGACATGATAAATGGGAGTGAAACTAAATGTACAAGTAATGTTGAATGTAAAACAAACTCTTAAAATAAAAAATTAAAAAAAATTTTAATTGATAAATGTGATACTGACTCCTGAATAATGTTACACTGTGGCTAGCCCAAAGGAGCTGTGATGGTACAGTACCAAAGGCGTTTGACTGCTGAACAGAATGTTGGCAGTTCAAACCCACCAGCCACTTTGCGGAAGGAAGACCAGGCAATCTACTTCCATAAAGACTTGGAAACCCAATGGGGGTCACTAGGAGTCAGAATCAACTTCATTGCAGTGGTTTTGTTTCGTTTGGTAATTCTCATGCGTGCCCAAGACTTGTCTGAAAGTCATCTCAGTGTGGTCCAGAATTAACTCTATCTCCAGGGCTTGATGCCAAGACCAGGTATTAAGGAGTTGTCCCAGGCTCCAGAGGGCAGTTACAGAGTACTCCTTGTCCAAGTCTCTGGCCTGGGCAGCTACATATAGATGGAGCAAAGTCACTGTGGGCATGAAGTGTTGGTGAGATAGCTCCCTGTGCCTACTTTCCAGCCCTAGAAAGAAAAGCCTACCTCAATAGAGCAGAGTATTTTAGAAACTGAAGAAATTATGTTCTTTCTTTGTTGCGTATCTGCACATGTAAAAATATGTCTATAATAAAATTTTGAAGACTTTTTGTCCAAAGGCTTAACACTTTTCATCTTTATCACTTTTAGATAGTAAGTATCACTGTAGGAAGAAAGAAGCAGCAAATCAAATCTAAAATATTTTAAGTCTCAACTTTTCTACTTGAATCATCCCCTGGGGACCACAGTGTAGCCACTAGCCACTAGCCACTAGCACTGGTCATAGAGAGAGAACTGAGAGAAAAAGACTATTTGACTGGTCTATTACTGATTGTTCCAACCTGTTGGCTCTCTCAGCCAGATACAAGGAGAGGAGAATCACTCTGTCACAGAAGTAGAAGGTTGTTATCTGAACCAACTCTGCACCCTCCAGGCTAGCATCTGTAAAAATCCAACCTGCCTTCTAATTCTTAATATTTATTTATTTTTGCCTTACATGTAACCACAAATCATTGGAGAGCAGAACTTTTCAGAAAGAACAAGAAAATGTCCTGTGGGATTGAGTAAACATAAAATGCCTCATTTCACCACATTCATTGTGGTAGTTGGGAGCTCTGGTGGCATAATGCCTAAGGCATTTGACTGCTAACCAGAAGGCTAGTGGTTCAAATCCACCAGCCATGCCTTGGAAGGAAGACTGAGCAGTCTACTTCTGTAGTGATACTGCCTCGAAAATGCAAGGAGGGGTCGCTATGAGTCAGATCTGACTCAAAGGCAATGAGTTTGTTTTTTTTTTTTGGATGGTGGCAGTTAAGATTATGTGTCAACTTGGCTCAGCCCAGTTTTGAGTGGCTGAGCAGCTGGATAGTATTTTTCATGATGAGACTGGTCATCAACCCCATGGAGGAATCTACTGTGAACAGGTGAGTAGCTGCCTAGGGATATGGTCTGTAACTTTTGGCATGCTTGAATCCAACCGTTATTCAGTAGCCTGCCATCTTGTCTGCTGTGCAGTTTGGTAATATTGAGACTGTGTCTTTTTACTTGTCAACTTTGGGTTTGGTGGCCTCAGCAGCCAGCAGCTGCCTGAGTGACAAAAGCCTCCAGCTTCAGTGGGCCAGGAGCAAGAGGCAGAGCTGAAGCCCAAGGTCAAGGGGTTTTCACCTAGCCCCTAGAACCTGGCACTTTGAGCTCGGACTTCTAGCCTCCAAAACTGTAAGAGAATAAACTCCTGTTAAAGCCAGCCACCTATGGTATTTCTGTTAGTGGCACAAAGTAACCAAAACACTGATGCTTTTGGGACTAACCAGGACATGTTTTGTATGACATTTCCATGCTTCCCTCCACAGATCTCTGTGGTCCATCATGTACCCATGTCTGAGCTGGTCCATGACATTTTGTTCTTTAGGATTGAATCAGAATGTTTTTGAATCTTAACTGATCATCTCTAGAAAACAATAAGGACCACTGTATTCAAGCACTTTGTAAGTTTCTAGGTGACAACAGTTCCAATTAAAATAACCCAGAAGGTAGGACTCTGGAGAGCACAGGTCAGAAAATGAACAGGAAGAGTCTGCTCAGGAGGTCCACGAAGGTATACTTTGAGCTGTGTACAGAATGTGAAGGGAAAAAAACTTGTCTGCCCTCAATTGTTAGAATTAATGACCTTACTACTTGAGTGTAAAATGACTCCTTGGTCCAAGTGTCATCAGAGTATGTTCAAAATCTACCCAGAAGCTCTCTGTATGGATGTCCAAAGCGGAAATATATCACTTACCAAAACACACTTCCCTGGCTCGAGACTCCAGAGAGAACCCTCGGTGTTGATCTTATGGGTAAGCTTTCCCTCCATGAGGACGTGCTCCCCATTTTCCTCCAGCACTGCCACTCGGATGGAGTCACTGCTAAGGTCCACTGAGACCTAAGAGCACGATAGGATAAAATTATTTTTATGTTTGAGGGTAATAACTGGTATTTTGCAAGGTGGAAAAGGGAATGATGGTGCCCAAGTTACCTGACTACACACTTCAGAAAGAACAAAATAAAGAATGTTTAAAGGGGTCATCAGGAATTCCTGACTAAGAAAATCATGCAAACCTAATTTACATTCAAAGCAACCTGCAAATTATTGTTTCCTTTAAGGGTACTATAAAATTTTTCCACACACATATCTGTTAAAGTCAGACAATAGGTAGAAATTGTTAGTTTTCTACCAAATTCCCTTCTTCCCCTTCAGTCAAGTATGACTTGGATCTTGCCAACAGACATGAGGGCAGATATGAGGTACTATTGGGTCCAGTGTGTTCCTGCCATACTTCCTCCTCTTTCTTGCCATCTGGACCCTGCAGTGCCCAGCCTGTGGTGAATACTTCAGACTGCTCACCTCAGCACCATAGCACCAGAGATAAACATAATCTCTTCCCTCAAAAAGCTGCTGTACAGCTAGCTGTCTCTTTGTGATTATATCTCTTAGTCCTTAACCAGAATAAAAAGATTACCTCCTTTGATTTTCTTTTACTTTGTTTTGTTAATTAAGAAAACAAATCAGAAAATCGACTCATCCTACAAGACTCAGCTCAGTCATCCGTCCCTTTGAGATACTTCCCTGAGCAGAGCTGGGCAATCCCTACTCATTGCTCTGGCAACACCTCTCTTCCCTGCTGTTGTTGTTGTTGTTGTTTGCCGTGAGTCGGCCCCGACTCATAGCGACCCCTCCTTGGGTTTCTGAGGCAGTATCACTACGGAAGTAGGATTGCCCAACCTTCCTTCCAAGGAGTGGCTGGTGGGTTTGAACCGCCTGCCTTCTGGTTAGCAGTCAAGTACCTTAGCCACTATGCTGTATACTTGTGTATTTTCACAAGTGAACTGTGAGCTCCTGGGGAGCAGAGATTCTCTTTTCACTTTATACCCCTGCATCCCCAGCCAGTGTTCTTGAAAGCAGAATCTATGTGCCCCAGGATGTTCATAGGATAAGTAACTAAAAGAAGAAAGAAGCAGAAGTTGTATTTCATTTCATTTATTCTTTATAAATTCTAAAAACTAAGTGCTTTATAATATACAAAACCTTTTTATAATAGTATTTTCATAATTTATAAATTAAACACATAGACATATTGGAGGTGAGTACTTAAAATAGGATTTTACGATTACCTGTGTGGAATCAAACAGCTTAGATACTGTTTCCCATGTCACATGGTAGGTGTTCATTAAATGTTTATAAAAAAGCTTTTCGGAACTATAGAATTTCAAACTGGAGTTTAGTGTTTGCCAAGGAAATCTAATATTGTGGTTTAACTATTTTAGACATCCATAAACAAAAAGGGAGAAATAATGTGCTAGAATCACTATAGTTAAGGGCTTTCTAAGTAAAAGAAGAATGCTTGTGCTGTGAGAGGGAGGAGAAGGAAAAATGACAAAGGGGCTGGCCAGGAGGACACTGGCCCACTCAGCAGACACAACCCTGACCGATGCCCAGGGTTCTGGTGTAGAGGACTCAAATACCACAGGACTGTGCAACCCCACGTTTTATATGCAGACTTTGAACATGTTCTTGAGTGAGCCTATAGTTTCAATTTATACTGAAATTTCATGGAAAGATTTATTGTAAAGAAGTTTGTTGTACTTTGTTGTACTTTGCAAAGTGACTGCTACAAACAAATTTTTCTCCCTGTCATCTAACAGCAAAAGAAATACAAGTAAACATGATGGTGGCCCAGCTCATTCCTGGTTGGATTTAGACAAACACTGGACTAAATCATGTTTCTCTAGACATTAACTTCTACGTGTAATGAAAGCCTGGTATTACATGGCAAAAGCTCTGTCAGTCCTGGCCTCCCAGGAACAACTACACGTTAACAAATATAATTATACCAGCCTGTTCCACACAATATAATCATTTCCAAATTTAGGGAAGGTTCCAAAACTGCCTACCCAAGAGGAATGAAAAAATTATCTGAAGGAGAAAACCAGACAAGAGATGCTTTTAGGAGTCTTAGTTCAAGATATCAAGCAGAAACTAGGCAGTTAGTTCATTGACTTCCAGCTACCCCATGGAAGTGATCAAAACAAAGCACATAAGGGAACAAATCCCTAATAGTGAAAAGAAAGGAGGGAGAGGACAAGAATATCTGATATTTCAACAACTATGGAAGATAGAAGATGAGGAATATACTGACAGATAACACAGAGGAGGGGACAACTGATAAATCTGATCCCGGGACCCTACAGGTATACAAGAGCTTCAGGCTTCGAGTCAGCAGCTACAGAATGCAAGTAGCAAGATGTGGGTCAGAAATGGGAATGGCTGAAAGTCAGTTCACATTGTGCCAGGGGGAAAGCCATCAGAAGATAAAGCCAGACCACTGTCTATAAGGCAAACAGTACTTTATTTGCTCCAAAGGGGAAAAAAAAAAAAAGAGTCTAGGGAAACTGGTGTAGATGCCCACTGCTCATATGCCAAATAAAGACCTACTCCTCCAGCATTTGGTTGGCTAAAGTCCCATACCCTATAAAGCAAAGCTAACCAATCATTCCACTCAGTTGCTAGTGTGGTGGGGAGGAACAGACTTCAGATGCATAACAAAGAAAAATATCCAGCTACCTGTAATAACATGGTCCCACATTCAGAGAATGGGAAAATTTCTTTTTTTTTTTTTCCCAAAAGAAAATGAATAAGGGACTGAGGATGATGTCTTAGTATCTTCTCAGATCACACTATAAAATTGAAATCCGTAATAAAGAGATCAGGGGGGAAAAAAAAAACAAAACATGGAAACTGAATAACACCCTGCTCAAAAATGACTGGATATAAAAAATAAAATATGAAATAAAAAAATTCCAAGAATGAAAACACAATATACCAAAACCTTTGAGACACAGCAAGAAGCAATATTCACAGGTCAATTTATAGTAATAAATGAACACATCAAAAAAGAAAGAACCAAACAGATGCCTTAATCCAACAACCCCAATAATTAGAAAATGAGCAACAAAGGAAACATACAGTCTCCAGAAGAAAGGAAATAATAAAAGTTTAAAGCAGAAATAAACAAAGCGAAAGTAATAATAATGAAAAAAAAGAAGAAAAGAAAAAAAATCAACAAGATTAGGAGCTAGTTCTTCAAAAAGATTAACAAAATTGACAAACCAAAAACTTAAAAAGAGAATACGGAACCAAAAAATTTAAAAAGAGAATATGGCACCAAAAAATTTAAAAAGAGAATATGGAAATCAAATACAAATGAAATGGGTGACATCACAACAGAATTACCCAAAATAAAAGGATAGTAACAGAATAGTATGAATTCATAATAGCATGGAGAGTTCTCCAACAACTTTTAAAACCTAGAAGAAATGGACAAATTTCTAGAAACATACGAACCTAAATTAACATAGACTAAGGGAGCAAATTTGAACAGAACCATAACAAGAAGAAATTTAACAGGTCATTAAAAACAAAACACAAACAAACAAAACAAAAAACTATCAACAAAAAAAATCCTGGCCCAGACAACTTTACTGGAGAATTCTATCAAACAATCAGAGAACTGACACCAATTCTACTCAAAGTATTCTAGAACATACAAAAGGATGGAATAGTCCCAAATTTGTTTTATGAAACAAGCATAAACATGATACCAAAAATAAGCAAAGATCACCACTGAAAAGGAAAATTGCACCCCAACATCCCTCATGAATACAGAACCAAAAATCCTCAACAAAATTCCAGCCAATACAATCCAATACTACATCAAAAAAATAATACACCATGAACAAGTAGGATTCATACCAGGTATGTAAGGATGGTTTAACACTGGAAAAACAATCAATGTAATTCAATACATAAATAAAACAAAGGAAAAGAACCACATGATCATATCATTTGATGCAAAAAAAGGCATTTGATAAAATCCAACACCCATTTCTGATTATTTAAAAAAAAAAAAAAAACAACCTCTCAGCAAAATAAGAATAAAAAAAAAATTCCTATATCTCAGCATAATAAAGGGCATATATACACAA